CTTAGTGCAAAGAAGTCTTTATGGAGACATGGAACATTGGGCAGCAATATGGATTTTTTCCAGGTGGACATTTAGGAAAGAGAGGTCAAGGTAAGGAGAATATCAAGTGCAATTCTCAGAGGCATGAGAGAGTGATATTAGGGCAGTCAAAATGTTTTGTGAGTAAAAGGAGGATTTTTTAATACTTATTTTGGACAACAGGTGTAAGATTGAGCTGGACCAGGCACACTAGCATATAGGACATCTTTTAGGGAATGTCATTTAGAACAGAATATTCTGCTACCTTTCAATGTTCAGATTTGGAGATTTAAAGAGTAATGTAATTTTTCATGTTCACATAATACCAACTGCACCCCCCTTTTCAATAGAGCTTTTTCATGCAATAAATGAATTTGCCTTAAAGACACGAGTAACTTAATAAGACATTAGTGGTAAAGGATTGTAATTTTTGTTTCTTGAAAAGGTCTATTGCCAATTGAACACATTTTAAGAGACATAAATTAGGCTTAATGAATATTACATTTTAGACTCTTAAATGTTACAATTTAGAAAATATATGGTAAAGCATGCTTATACTTTATATCCCTATTTGGCTCATAAAGAAAAGGTAAACAATAATTTTCAAAGATCAAAATCATTTTAAACACTAAAACAATAATTTTGCACATTTTAAAGTAGTGTTTCATCACAGATAGACAGAGAGAGGAACAACAGAGCAATTGTAAATTCTAAAACTGATGGTATCAGATCTTATCCCATTCATATATGTATATAGGTGCACATGTATATTATGAATATCTATATATAAAATACATTTAGGTATATTACATTACAGTACCTATGTGGAATTTGCTCAGTGATCCCCAGAACATGCCAAAATCAACAGATTTTCAAGTGCTTTGTATAAAATTGTGTAATATTTTCCTATAACTTATATATATCTTCCAGTATGCTCTGAATCATTTCTAGATCACTTATAACGCCTAATACAATATTAATGCTATGAAACTAATTGTTACAGTGTATTGTCTAAAAAAATGATGGCAAAGAAAAATCATGTTCAGTATGGGCATATTTTTTTATCCACAGGTGGTCAAATCCACAGTTACAAATCTCATGTAAGGGCTGGGGAGATGGCTCAGTGGAATAAGCGCTTCCCTGGCAAGTGCAAGGGCCTGAGTTCAATCCCCGGTTCAAAAAAAAAAAAAAAAAAAAAATCTCATGTAAATGGAGAGCTGATTTTACACTTATAATATCTATAATGCACTACATATTATAAATATATTTTACATGTTATTATAGATAATAACAGATTGTATTTTCTGAGAATTCTGTAGAATATAGACTTGGACATAAAACCTAGCTGCATTACAGAAATTAAAGAAATGCAACTTTCTTGCACAGTTGACTACCTGAACTGCAATTCCTTCTCATCTCCCATGCCATTTTGATATATACTGATTGGATGAGAAGCTGAAGAAATATATTCTTTAAATACAGATATCTAAAAAACTAGGATTGAAGGTCCCATTCAACTCAACTATTGCACACCCATGTTTATAGCAGCACAATTTGTCATAGCTAAATCATGGAAGCAACACCATCAACTGAGGAATGGATAAAGAAGATGTGGTATTTTTATATAATGGAATATTATTCAGCTATAAAAAGGATGAATTTGAAGCTTTTGCTGCTAAGTGGATGTGACTAGAGAACATACTCTTAGGTGAAATAAATCAAACCCGTGTGTGCAAATATCATATTGTCTCCTTAGTGTGAGAACCTGAAAAGAGAAAATAAAATCTGAAGGTTACAGTAGGTACTATGAAAACAGAATGAATCTGTTCAAAATGAAGGAATTTTTGAGTTGATAAGGACAGGAGAGAGAGTGAGAGAAAGATATATATCCATGTATGTAGGCAGGATGTTTTGTCCAACTGTACTGTGCATTTCTGCTGGTCTGTAGAAAGGAGCAGCTGTGTTTATTTCATTTTGTCTCGCTTTTTTCAATTATTTGCCCTTTTTCTCTTCTTAATTTCTTATACATGTATATGTATGTAAACATATATATGTATACATACATATATATGTAAAACTTTCTTTTTTCTTGTTACTCCAATTTTGCATGCTAATATCTGGTAAGATGAATAACTAATTTGAAGGAATCATTATGCAATACAACAAATTCTGTGAAATTCATATTATTTTGTTTGGTGAAATTCTGTAAGATTTGTAATTTTCTGTTTTACTTTTAATTCTATTTTGTAGTCTCTTCTTTATTTTTTATTAATTTTATTGAGAAACAAATAGCAATGAGACAGTTTCAAACAGGTTAGTAGGACAGTTACAATAATTAATACCTTGATTATTATTGTCTTCATAATGGTTATTCATAGTACAAGATGCAGACATGATATCCTGTCTAAACACTATTAGTAAAATATTTCTTCTCATTAAGAAAAAGTAACTGTATACCTATCCTAACTATTTGGTAAATACAAATATAAAATGGTCCTTCATTTGTATCCCCTTTTTTGTTTAGCTTTGTCAGAGATGGGTATTCCATTGTCATTTAAATATTGTAGGTGTGTACTGTAACATCATGTAACTCAGTTGTGTCCCAAATTTTCTGATCAAGATTATGGGGCCACAGAGCAATGTTATCGATGATATAGAGTGTGCCTAAGGAGAGTCACATGGAGAGAAAACATTCTCTCAGGCTTTCACAGAGAGCACATTGGCCAAGCAATGGCCGTGACTCATCCACATGGCTAACACTGACAAAGCATCTACAAACTGCGGTACAGGGTTTCAGGATAAATCCTGAGGGGATTTGACTGACATGTCAGACACAAAAGTTACATTGTTATATAGGACTTGCTTTATCTTGGTCTTAACCATCCAGCAGAAAAGTATAAGAAAAAGGTATAAAAACTAACGCCATATTAATATGCTGAGCTGTAAAAGGCTCAAGTCAACAACTTCTGACATTGCCAGTCCTATGGATAACCTACTACTGTTATGGACTACTGGACTATATTGGAATATTTTGCTGAATTCACGCACCTACAATACTTAAATGGCAATGAAATACCCATCTCTGACAAAACTAACCAAAAAGGGGATACAAGTGAAGGACCATTTTGTATCTATATATACAAATAGTTAGGATAGATATACAGCTACTTTCTCTTAATTCAATGAGAAGAAAGATTTGTACTAATAGTGTTTGGACAGGATATCATGTCTGCATCTTGTACTATGAATAACCACTATGAAGACAAGAGTATGCAATGCTTTAATTATTGAAACTGTCCTACTAATCAGTTTTGAAACTGGCTCAATGCTATTTGTTTCTCAAAAAAAAAATTTAAAAAATAAAAATAAATTTCACTTTAACTAGAAAAAAAATCTAGGCTGTCCATGCATGTTCTCCCTATGCTTCATTTCCCTGAATACTTTGCTTTTCTTTGATGTCCAAATTATGTGGACCCAATGGCTAAAAATTTTGCTGCTTTATGTCTCTTCTATGCTTCACTCCTCACTAAATGATTGTACATAGGCTCATCACTTGGAATATCATCTATGTTTTGAGAACTCCCAGTTTTCTAACTCCATTTTCAACTTCTCCCCCAAATCACTGGCATAAAATTGATCTCATTCCTGTTTCTAAGAGAACTTCTAATATAAGACCAAAATAGGATTTCTCCCCACTCCGTATTCCACATTGCTTGTCTTGCATTTGTCCCTATCCCAATAAGCAGCAATACTATTTACTCCATTGCTCAACCACAAAACCATAAATCACATTTAAGTCTTTTCTTCCTCCTGTGCATCCAATCTGTCAGCCAGATAAGCATCAAACATGAATTTGCAAGGAAAGTATGTCAAAAAAACAGTGACTCCCTAAGACAGTGATGAGGGTACACTTTTCCTTCTCATGCTCTGTGTTCATTATAGCTCTCATCTAAATCAATGCCTTTTTAAGGACATGAGGGTGCACCTTCCTGTCTACAGCTTAGGCCTGGAATGTTCTATAAGAAAACTTACATGGCATTTTTCAATGCTAGAGATTGGTTTCAAAGCATGAAAGATATTTAGTAAACAAAATGAAAATTTTGTAAACCCTTAAAATACAAAAGTGATTTTAAATAAGTTAGCTGCAGACATAAATACAGAAGAAAATCTAGACGGAAAGCTCTCCACTCTTACAAAATAGGAAATTACAGGCATTTTCAAAAATTTATCGATCACAATTTTGATGGATTAGAATTTTTAAGAAGGTAAGTAATAATAACATTTCTGGTATTTAGCATTCTCTGCAGTTTTTGAATTTTTATTATGGTATATATTGCCACTATAGTAATCAAATCAACAAATTTACAAAGTTATTAATAATAAATAATCACAACTCATTTCATTTCTTGTTTTTCACAGTTTTCTGAGCAAGACTATACAAGGAGACAGCAAGTTTTGCTTCACTATTGATCAATAGCATAAAGAACAGAAATACTGATCTAGAATACTGTAGTGCGGTTCTTATTTTTAATCCATTACAACAGGGCAAAAATTGGTTGTCTACTGTGCATCCAATCCTGTCAAATATGTTGATACAGCATATCTAATTAAAGAATTGTGGGCTGGTGAGATGGCTCAGTGGTCTAAAGCATCTACTTAGAACAAGCTTAGCTAAAGCTCAGGGACCGCAGTTCAATCCCCCAGCACCACATGCCAGCCAGCCCTGCCCCCTGGTGGGCTGAGCTGGCCACACACATAAATAAATTTAAAAAAAAAAAAAAAAGAATTGTATAAAAACGAATCCCATCGAGACCAGCAGGGCTCACACACTCATTCACTATAATCCACCTCCTGAAAGCACTGCAGGACTCCCGACCCCTCCAAAGAGAGACACTGCAGTTTTCAACAGAAGAAATATAGCCATTGTCCTAATGCTACTTACTGTCCTACTGGTATATGAATAAGCATGGCACTATTTTTACCTTGAATAATGCATGGCTTGGTGGCCTGCTATGTTAAGATAGAAAGCCGTTGTGTGCTTCATCTCATTGGTCTCTCCGGTGGTCTCAATCCAGTGTCCAATTGGCACACAGTAAACACCATCCACCAAGTTGTTTTCATTATAAGTACAGCAACGATCGTGGTGAGGCCCATTGCCTAGAACGAGAAGAAATGACAAACAGATCAATTAAATCAGCGTTTTGCTTAAACAAGTTCAAACTGGCTGATACAAAGTTAATTATATGGTAAAAATTAACATAAAGCTCCTTAACCTACATATTTTCGTAAGAACAAAACTACAGCAAGAGAACAGCAGGCATCTGTAGAATCCTTTAAAGTATATAAGGATTTTTTTAAAGTTTAATAATTCTTTCAGAACTTAATAGTATTTCTTATTGCCCTAAGAGCCCTGTATAAATCATTTTCTGCCCAATTACCGGCTGCAAAGGGGTTTTAAAGTGGCATTACATTAATGCCACTGTACGCCATAATTTTATCATTCTGGTATGCAAATTTGTAACAAAAAATCAGTATCTTAGCATCAGCTTCAATAATGAATGTATTGATATAAATACATCAATAAATAATAAGATAAATGTACACATCTAATTTGTAAGTAAAATGGGGGAGGGTTATTGCTTGTAGGTAAGGAAACTAATTCTCAGAAATTAACTAGCTTTCTGACTATTAAATGCAGAGCAAGTAGTAGCCTTAGTTCTCAACCTGTCAGACAGCTCATAATTTCATGTCCCTCTATGCCTACATCACACATCCAAAAACATACTATCTGCTCCCCTCCTTCCCATTTACCCTCCCTCCTTCCCTCTCCTCCTTCCTTCTTTGAAAACATAACTTGCCCTGCTTCACAATTCAGCTGAATAGCAATTACATTAGTTGCAATGGTCCTGATATTTGTATGTTTCCCAAACTCTTACACTGGCACCAGAACCCACAAGATATTGGTATTAGGAAATGCAGTCTTTGAGAAATGATTAGATCATTAAATCAGAGGGGCAGAGTTTCATAGTGTCAGTGTCCTTATAAAAGAGCCCCAAGAGACATGCCTCCATCCCTTCTACCACGTGAGGATGCAGAAGCACATGTCATCTACAAGCCCGGAAGGGAGTGCCCTCACCAGCTACCGCACCTGCTGCTGACGCGAGCTTGGACTTTTCCACCTCCATGGTAATAAGAAGTGAATGTCTGTTCTTTTAAGCCACTTAAACTACGATATTTTGTTACAGCAGTCCAAATGTTCTATGACACTGAGAGCCTTGCTTATTTTTACTAAACTTTCTTAAGTAAATGATTCTGTCATCTCAGGCCATTCTTTATATTACCTGTACTATATCAAAATGAAAATATGAAAACAAAATAAATTGCATTTCTTATAAACACAAAAATTCAACTCACTTGCTATTTGCTCTGTGTTCCAAAAATATTTAATCTAAAGTTGCTTGTAAAAAAATCTAAGAAGAGTCCAAGACTTCCTTCTATCCACTAGAAGGCATAGGATGACTCTCTCAATAAATAATTACTGGTCTTTATAGATCAGACTCCTTTTTTTCTCTTGATGGCTACAAGGCATGATACCACTTCTCCATTAACCTTGATATTTAATAGATGATAGCTGAATTACACAAGCAATCCCAATTTTATAATATATCCAACACAAATACAATAAGACTAAAGATACATACAGAAATATATATGCACACTAATACTCTTTTATTAGCAAATACTAAAAACTATGTAATTTTTTCATAAATATTCATTGAGACAGGTACTGTGCTTGATTCTGTTAAATATTTAAGTATTTATCATAAGAGCAATTTAAAATTTCTGAAATATTTTAAGCAGGTATATAACATGACTAGACTTTTATTTGGAAAAAAATGTTCATAGAGCAAAAAAAAATAATTCAGGTAGGATAAGGTAGAACTAGAGTCCACTTAAGAAAATACTCCATCAGCTTAGGTATATGATGATGAAAGATTTCACTGAAATGGAAAGAATTAGGTGGATTCCAAAGGGAAAGACCAGAGGACTTGAATAAACAGACATAGAAGTGAAGAGGAAAGGGGACCAGCTCCTAATGCTCTCATGAATATAACTCAATAAAGGTACCATTTACTGACAAATGAAATCTGAAACCGTATGGTTTGAGTGCTATTTGGATGTCGAAAACACACCAAGTACAAGTTAGAATTACTGGTTTAACACCCAGATCCAAACACCTCAACTGAAAAACTAAATAAGCAAATAAAAAGTCATCTGAGTGTTGATGGTAACTGAGATAAGGACATAGATGAGCCAAAAAGAAAAACAATAATCATTGAGAAGAAAAGAGAAGACCAAGTTTGAAATCATTTCTATATTTAACAGTTCAATAGAAAAGACTGACCCTACAGTGTAGTGTAGAAGGAAGAGCTAGTGAGGAGACATAGAAGACACTGAGAAGAGAGCATGGCTAGAAACGTAGGCACACTAAATCCTGGCTGGCTGCATACTGCACATTAACAGCGGTCCCATCTGGAAGTCAGAACTGCAGAGAGGGAGGCTATTTTACTCTACAATATTTTAAACTGATTGGATTTGTTAGTGTGTTAATATAAGAATGTTCTCATCTTCATACGTAATATTTAATTTATTAATAAATGAATATATAACATGCTTGTCAGTGCAATATACTTCCAACAATTTAAATGTTACCCCTTAAATCAGCATAATTATTAAGGAACCCAAACACACACACACACACACACACACACTATAGTATTCAAGGGAAAATTTTAGCCATCATTATGTTCTGAGAATTCTTCACTGCTAGAAGTAATTTTTGAATGTTCATTTTTATACATAGATGTTTTAGGCAACTTTCACAGGAGTTTTCATTTATAGTACCCTGTGACAACTATTTTATAGTAATTAAAGTATCTTTCAGAGAATGGGCCACTGTCTTATGAAGTTAGTCTAAAGAAATAGCAAAGATGAATATAGTAATAAAATAAAATCTGTTTTAGGGGATTTCTAAGGACTATAAAATAAATGTTTTGCTCTTTTTTTATACTATACCTAAGAACAATGAACTTTATTAAAAACACACACAAGGTAACTTTGAAAAACAAAGAGAACAAAGGAAATGATCGAGGGATACTGAAACCCACAGAACAACACAATAGTAAATTCACTAAAATTTATTTGGATTTTGCTTTATACACCGAAAACTTAGCTCTGAAAGGCCAGCAAACTATAACTCCTACAGGAGCACACAAGAAAACAAAATGGAACTGCAAAAGAAAAGGAAAGGAGGAGCCCAGCAAAACAAAAACAAATACTCTTAGTGAAATACTGCTGGCATACCGTATGGCCTCACACCCTCTCCACACCAGCAAAGGCCATGTGTGGAGCCAGATTCCGAGCTTACCAAGCTGTACAGACGCACTCAACCCACTCACTAGGGCAGCATCGGAAAAGTTCAAGTAGGGAACGGAGACTTTCAGCACCCCTTGCCAATGTGAGTGGAGATCGGTGGGAAGATGAATTTGAACTTTCACTCAGCAGTGACAAAGGGCCTCTCCACTGCCTGATGGGCAGTGTCAGAGGAGGCCTGCTGCTCAGGACTTTCACCTCCCTCTCACCTCCCTCTGCATGTGGGGAGCAGTAAGAAGGCCCTTCTACATCTCCCAGCTAGGGAGGCATCAGTGGAAGTCTAGTGCAGATGGAATTCCTACTCACTTCAGTATAGAGAAGTCAAATCCTTTTGATTATTAATGGAGGTGGAACAGACTTAAAACTAAAAGTTTACATAAGACAGGGCCATTTTGTAATTCCAAAAATGTAATTCCAGGTTTCTATTGAAAGACATCCATTATATTAAGGGCTGAATGAGAGAGAGAGAGAGAGAGAGAGAGAGAGAGAGAGAGATATTAGATACCAACATCAATATGACACAAGTGTTAGAATTATCTGACAAATATTTTAAAGCCTCAACAACTTCCTAGGACCCTTCTCAAATAAAATAAAAATCAGAAATTCTCAGCAAAGAAACAAAAGACACAAAGAAGAAGCAATAGAGATTTTAGAAGTGAAAAATGTAATAGCTGAAGTAAAATATCAGTCAATGGGCTCAACAGCAAAATTAGTGAGACAGAGAAAAGAATTATCAAACTTCATGACAGATTCACAGAAATTACTCATCCTACACAGGATAAAATAGAAAAAAAAGAGATGAAGACTTGAAAAGTAAAAATTTGTTTTTATTGGAGAATTAGAATTTGCACTGGAATAACAAAGGATCTAGCATCCATGTAAGCAACTGGAGTCATAAAAGGAGAAGACAAGAGGGCAGAAATATATTTCAGGAAATAATGCCTTAACACTTCAATTTTGAGTGAAGTTAAAACAGCTTAAATCTAAATAAATCCATACCAAGACAATCATGTTTACACTTCTAAAAACTAAAACTAAAATAAAATCTTGAAAATAGCAGGAGAAAAATGATAAGAAAGAAACAACTCTAATGACAATAGATTACTCATCAGAAGCCATTCAGACTACAGCAAATAACATATTTTTCAAGTAGTGAAAGAAAAGAATTGTGAACCAAGAATTATTTATTGATCTATCTATCTACTTGTGGTATTGGAGATTAAACAGAGCCTCTGCACTGAGCTGTATCACTAGCCCATTCTTGTTGTTTTCATTTGGGGGCAGGGTCTCGCTAAATCACTAAGGCATGCACTGGGCTTAAGCTTTCAATCCTCTTGCCTCAGTCTTAGAAAGTACTGAAATTATAGGTATGGGTAACCATACTCAGCTCAAGAATCTTATACCCAGTGAATTATCCTTCATTAATGAAGAAAAAATTCAAACCATGATAATTGAAAGAAAACTAAGAGAATTTTGTCCATTGAACTATCTTTTAGAAATGGCTGACAGAACATGTCTAAAAATAGAATCTTTGAACATCAAGAAAAAAAAAAAGAGCAAAAGGGTAAGGGCAAGAGACTTCTGTTCTTGGGTTTCTAAGGGAAACATAAATATAATTATCAGATATGATTCTACTTGTACCGAGAGTAAATATTTAAGAGAATTATAAATATGGGAGGAGAAGGATCTGGTGAGATAGCTCAGCAGTCCAAAGCACCTGCCTGGCAAATGCAAGGACCTGCGTTTGATCCCCAGTAGCACATGCCATGCTGGCCACCAAAACTGGGCATGGTGGTACACGCCTGTCATTCCAGGACTGGGGAGGCTGAGACAGGAGGATCACTAGGAGTCCCATCTGTATACAGAGACCCTGTGCCAAATAAAAAAAAGATTAAAAAATAAATAAATAAATGAATAAAAGGAGTCAGTTTTTCTATAGTTCCCACAAACTGGCATAAACATGACACCAGTCAATCGAGATGTTAGGTAAATATGATGGAGGTAAATGTCAAATTGCAAGAAATTCTTCAAATATGAACCAGACATGCTATACCAAGGCAACAAAAGAGAGCAAAGAAAACCAGAAAAAAAAAGAAAATGGTACATTTAATTAATCCTTAGTATATCAATAATTATATGCAAATAGATTAAATTTATCTCTTAAAATGAGATTGGCAGAATGGAATTTGTTTTGTTTTTCAATTCATTTGATACAGGGTCTCACTATGCAGCTCGGGCTCATAGTGATCTCCCTGTTTTCAGCTTCCCCAGTGCTGGGATTACAGACGTGTGCCACCACGCCCGGACTCAGTTGCCCAGTGCCCCAGGAGCAGGGCCAGCAGAGCACGTGAACTTACCAAAGCAGTCACTTAGTCCACTGAGCTACCTAGCCAGCCCGGCAGAATGGAATTTGAAACAAATGAATTAACTATATGATGTTTAGGAAAACTCACTTGAAATTCTTTACGGAAGGTAGAAATTGAAGGATAGGAAAATATATATTGGAAACATTAATAAAAAGGAAGCAGGGGTGGTTATATTAATAACATGAAAAGTAGAATTCAGAACAAAGAAAATTACTAGCGAGAGGAAAATTATATGATGTTAAAAGTATCAAGCTGGGCTTGGTAGCACACGCTTATAATATAATACTTGGGAGGCTGAGGGAGGAGGTCTGCAAATTCAAAGCCAGCCTGAGCTATATGCTGAGTTCAAGACCAGCCTGAGGGCAGGGAGATGGCTCAGCAGAATA